GACGAAAACCTTTCATGGAATATGCACATTGAAAAAATAGCCAAGAAAATCGCATCGGGCATTGGAGCAATTAAACGTTGTAGGCCTTTTGTTAATCGAACCACGCTTGAGTCCGTTTTCAATGTCTTAGTTCAACCGTACTTTAATTACTGCAGCGAGGTCTGGGGGCATTGTAACAAGGGTCTTTCGAATAAGCTCCAAAAGTTGCAAAACCGGGCTGCCCGTATTCTGACCTTCTCCAGTTATGACACAAGCGCTGATCCTCTTTTTGTGCAACTTAACTGGAGACGGTTAGATACTCAGCGACAAATACAAGTGGCCACCATGGTCTATAAATCTATACATGGTCTTGCGCCCGACTATCTTGGTTCTCTTTTCACTAAATATGATCCTCCATATAATCTAAGGAACTCTGAAAACAAACTAGCTGTTCCATTGCCTCGCACCAATTTCCTGAAAAATAGCTTTAGCTATAACGGTGCGGTTATCTGGAATAGCTTGTCCCCTGAATTGCGGCAAGCAAAATCACTTCAATCCTTCCGAAATGGTTGTCGCAATTTCTTCCTCTGAATCGACAAAACACACACGGCATCTATGTAAAGCAGAATTTCTTTATTTCTTTCTATTTTACTTTTAAATTTTAGATCATGTTTATATAGATTAAAATAGATTGTAACTGTAATAATAGATTGTAATAATATTATTATTTTATCTGATAGATTTACCGTGTCTAAATAAAAATAAAGTTCAAGTTCAAGTTCATTTCCTCGTAGATCAAGGTAACAATCTCTACCTAGTAACTGCGTATTCTCATTACGTTTTGCTGGATAATTGGTGGATATTATAGGGAGAAGTTGCATGTTAATCACCACTGAGAGTTCAAGGGTCCAGGGAAATAACCCTATTTTTCCATTAGGGTAACACTAGAAAAATTATTACATCGCAAGTAACCCTTCGTGTCTGTCGTTCAAGCGCGCGACTGCTCTGCTGATGACAAAATAACATTTTGATTGATGATATTTCTGCATATTCTTTCTTTCGGCTAATTCATTCTTAATTTGATAAATAATTTTTCCATCGTCAAAAGTGAGGCTCTTCCCTCTCTGTGGTCCCTGTATGAGAGAGGAAACTAATTCCCTTATAGCTTGATCGACATAAAAATAATTCTACAATAAGATTTTCCCATTGCTCTTACTAACTCTAAGAATACTGCATATGTCTCACGTTTGCTGATGGTGAAATAATACGCCATTCGACAAAGTAAGACGGGGATTTTAGCAAACGTCGCATAAGCACGTGTGCTGCACGAATTTAAAAACCATTACAGCGATCGACAGATCTAAAAGCGGTTTTTAGCATACTTTACATCGTAACGTACACTGAACTAAATAAAAAATTAAAAGTAACTGATTTATCTAAATTGAACAATATTAAAAATAAATGTATCTTATTACACGGCTCGGGCAGTCAGAGGGCTAATAACTAAAATCAACCAATCAAAATGCTCTATTGCCGGTCAATATTCTCTAAGTATTGGACCGGGCACTGTCCCGAATGACACCGCTCTTGTGTCCCTTTGAACTTCAGTCGTATAATAAATCTCTTACTAACCAAGCTTGCTTGGGAACGTACTGGAAGAATATCGGCCCTCGGTCTTTTTTTCTACGGACCTCGCTGCCCTCGGTCCGTACTGTCAAGACCTCGGGCCGATATTCTCTCAGTACGGCCCTCGCGCTTGGTTAATAAGATATATTTATTAAACCTTTAGTTGAGTGATATTACTGAGTGTTTTGCGAGTTGTGTCGTATTTTGACAAGCACGTAGGGCGAGTCAAAATACAAACGACGAGTAAAAATACTCAGCGATACTACACAACAAAACGTCTAATAAGAGATTTATTATCCATCACGCCAAATTATTTCAGTGCGGGCGAATTTCGCGGACATTTAATTACGGGGAGTGCGTGACAGAATTGTCCGCCATTTTTTTCCCTAACTTCAATCCAGATTCGTCGCTTGCGTGATGCGAGAAAACCTGTCTAACCAGTTCTCTGGAGTGCAAATACCGCGAGATATTTGTACTCGTTTTGGGCGTTATTTGTACCCTTTGAAACACACTTGGATAATAAGTAAGATTATTGGACTCTCTACTACATTAAGATGAATGTGTATTAAAGGCACCGAATAAGCATCAGTGCTTACCATATGACTCAATAATAGTGACTTATTTTCCACGACCATTATTAGCACTCGAACGACATGCCAGTTCAGCGTTAACCCTTTACACCCTATCAGCAGTATGACACATTCATCCTAGTGATCTCGATGCATATTCTCCATACTGATCTCTATACTTTTTCTAAGGTGCTGGCAAGGAGAATTTACTTACAATCAAGAGCTTCTTCAGTTAGTGATCATTTCCTTGATTCTCATGACCTAAATGCATGATTCAGGGGTGACTTTGTAAGGAGAAATTAGATGCTGGTTACTCTTTAAGGGTTAACCTGGTATCTTATCTTATATATCAGAACGGTTCGTCCGTCACAAAACTCTTTTTAATTGACACGTTTGGATACCTAGACCGCAAATTTTCGACAAACTTATTTGATAACTGCGAACAGAAGGAAATGTCGAGGAACCGCAACTTTTTGCACTCCTTTAACAACCTGCAAAAGAAAGAAACAAATCTCATTTACCCCCACCTGGGCTTTGGTCTGGAAGAAAAAAAGCGCACCAGCTACCCCTCCCCCCTCCCCATCCCTTCCTGAGCCCCTTTCCTCGATGTTGTGGCTATTTTGGGTTCTGTCCTCGTGTACCGGTTCACAAGAGCCAATACAAAAGACCAAACAATACACAATAGCTAACCGATAACTCCTAAACAAAGAAAGAACAATGGTAATTCCCTTGTGAACCGGTACACCAGGACAGAACCCTATTTTGGTTTCTTGTTTCCCTGTCATATTCTTGGTTTTAATTGATCATTGAGATAAATTAAGTTTTCATTTCACGACACTTTGGGCCGGTTATTAAATTAAAGTTGAAGCTTTGTTCATCCAAACCGCGCTCTATACAATCTCAAATAGGCAGAAAATACAAGCAAAACGTTAAATTCTTGCGGAACTGTCAAAAAGGCTTCCATTTAGCACTAAAAGAAAGATCTAATTACTTCAAACCACCCGCCCCCCTACTTTCGTAGTCTTTTGATCTTCGAAATAAACCTTGTTAAGTAACTGACCCATTTAGGCCGGTTATTCAAAAGTTAATCCGCTTCCTAAACAATCCTCAATTTGGCCGAACCTTTATCTGAACATTTATTTTCGTGCAGAGTGCCAAGGGGGCTGAAAACTAAACGTGGAGGGACCTCTTGTAGCGAACACCTGAGGCCAACTGATCGCGGAAAACCGTGGTCTAGGTTAGCCCTCGTGTAAATAACCGGCCTTAAGAGTTTTACGACATTCTAGATTCAACGAGCATCTAAGAATGTCAGATTCCGTACGCATGTTGACCACTTCCGTTCCTGCGGAAGTCGCAGATACGAGAAAAAAAGAAACACGAAACGTTTGCAAATGATCTGCAAATCCCAAGTTCCCAAAACAGAAAGCGGGGGAAGTTTCTTGCTTCCTGTCTCCTGTTTCGATTTCGAACGATTCGAGGTATATAACATGAACACGAAAGTGGAGGGCCGGGGGAAGAGAAGGAGTAAATGTTCTGGTTTCAGATTAACGGATGCAGTAAGAAAAAAAAAATGTTACCTAGTGATGGAATGAGGATGGATAAGACCGGTTCCCAGCACATCTACTTGTTCCAGATCAGGACAGTTATTTGCTAACGCATTTATGACATCGTCACTGACTGACCTGAAAACAAGAAAATCATTTAGTTAGTTAACATTTGCAATGTAATCAAAGGAACTTTGTCATTAGAGAAAACCATTACACTGTAATACGCGTGCTCACTTTCTAGTCTCTCAGATGAAACGCCAGTCATCTGGCTTGTGTTTCGCAACCACACTGAAATCATTACTCAGTCGATAGAACCGAAGACTACTTTTCAAATTTCCTTTAGTAAGATTAAGGTGCCAACAAAGCTAGAAGAGGACAACATATAGATTATTCTATGAAAAGTGCACATGAACGATTTTTCGATTTGTTCAAGCACTTTCCATGGTATTATGTTTTCATTTCATACACACAGATATTTTTCTTTCTTACCGATACATTTCAAAGATTGGGAGCCGACGATTGTGAAAATACATCGTTCGTCCAATCAGAGACACGAACGTTAATACTTAAGTGTGTAAATCTAGGTAGGTATGAATTACAATAGGTTATTTTGGGTCTGTTTAAAAAATATAGTTCCGTATCTGAAACTCTTTTGGAAAACATTCTCTTAAAGCTTCCCTTGGAGTGTTCTTCAATCATTTTCATAGAGCAGGGGAAAAAATATTAAGAAAGAAAGACACTACAAGAAAACAAAAAGAACAATGAAAGAAAAAATTGAGAAAATAGAGCAAAACAAATAAATAAACAACATATCTGAAGAAGGAAAGTCAAATTTAATTTACCTCAGCGCCGTAAGAAACAGCTTTTTCAGTTTCCTACATTTGGAGGTCAAGCAAGATATACACTCCGCGGCGTTAATCACAGTGGAGCTATAGAGGAGATAAAAACAAAGAAGAATCAAAACAAGAATCATACAGTCGAACCTGTATTGAGCGGTACTGTATTAAGCGGTCACCCTGTCTGAAGCGGTCGGTTGTCCAAGTCCCGAAAGTTTTTCCACAAAAGTATTTTAATCATCATCTCTATTGAGCAATCTCAATCCCCACTGTATCAACGGACTCTTTTCATTCAACTGCTTTATTCTTGTGCTATTCATGTTACCATGTTCATATAGCGTAGCTCTATCTTTTAGTATATAAACCACTCACAACCTAGAATTCATCTATTCGCTATAATACTCTAGTCAATTGAAACCCCGGCCCCCCGACCCCCGGGACATAGCGGGGGAGTAACGGGGGCATGGCCGTGGAAAATCGTTATTGTAACAAAGCGTTTTCCCGGGGGAACGGGGCCAGTAAACGCTTTCGCCGATTTGCCGGGAATTTGGAGCGGGGCTTGTAACGCCAGGCTCAAAAGAGAGGGAATGGGCCGAAGTAACAAAAATCACGGTTCAAGATGGAGGACCCTAGTTTTGTTTGAAGTTAATGTAGGAATGTGCCGCATTTGATTTATTTTTCTTGCTAAAGATTCAGAGGGTCAGATTTGTCGATAAAAATCGAGTAGCGAGTTTTAACCATATATCATTCATCAATCTAGTAATCTAGCACAACTTAATATAGAGAAACCTTTAGTGAACTGAAATGCAACGTGTTTAATTGTGCCAGACATAAGAAATCCAAGCACATGTATTCATGTTGTATATCGCACCTTCGTTTGACAGTAATACTCACTTGTCACTATGGGCATGAGCAGTTTAAATTGTGCAATGGCAGAAAACAAATTACTGAGTTTAATGTGTTTCTGACAATCTTCTTCCCCACTAATAAGTACTTAAGTGCATTGCGCGTTTTGTCTGGGGAATTCTAAGTTTCTCCAGCAATGGACGCACATACTTATATATTAAATTTATGTGATGGTCATTTCCGTGTGTACATAAAAGATTGGTCAACTATTATGGAAATCAAGTCTCCAAAATATTGTACATACCGGGGCCATGAGGGCGGGGATTGTACCAACATACTTTCCCGATGGCCGAGGTAGTGTACACAAATGTAACACTATCAAATTGCTACATTCCTCGCTATGTCCCGGGGGTCGGGGGGCTGTGGTTTCAATTGACTGTAGCATAAAGAGTGCTAACGCTCAAAGCATCACCTTTTGAAACACTTTTCAGTGGCCAATTTACAGTATCAACTCCGTTGATTTAACTTTTTAAACAGATCTTGAACTGAAAGGAAACACATTCGTTAAATACGGTCCCCATAAAGCCAAGAAAAGGTATATGCTGACGACAAATCGCGACAACTCACCACCATCCCACATCAAGTTCTTCCAGTAGAGTGCAACCGTCAGCTAATGACATGATTCCGACATCTGAGAGACTTCTGTTCCTCCACAAATCAAGAGACACTAATCCTCTAAGAGAGAGAGAGAGAGAGAGAGAGAGAGAGAGAGAGAGAGAGAGAGAGAGAGAGAGAGAAAAGAGAAATGAGAGGATTAAATTTGATACACATTATCGTAGAGTGAATATGCGTCACTGTCAGGGGATGGGTAGAGGTTCCAAGCATTTTGCTCTGGGGTAGAGTATGAAAATTAGAGGAATACTTTTGAAACCTTTTTTGAGTGATAAACTACTGAGCTGCACTGAACGAATTAGCACAATAAAAAAACTGGAAACTAGATTTGTTTACGAATTCTAAGTTTAAACAACTTAAGATTCCTTACTGCGGTGATAAATCTTACCTGCAATGTTTACTGAGTAACTGCATGATGGTGTCACATTCCGTAATGTGGTGACAGTCACCGAGATTCAGGTGTTGAAGATTACGATAAGACCTGCAGCAATATGACACAACAGATTGTACGTTATCAATACAAATCAAATAAATATAACATTTACACGCCCCAAACCAAGATCGAGGAATGAGATCTTTTCCCCCAACTCCGTCAAGAAACTTGCCGTTCTTTCATTGTCCGCTCGTTGTATAAGAAGGGGCATTTCTTAAAAGAGGTCACGGCTTCACTGTCGTCGTTGGCCAATTATTTATTTTTTGTTTTTTACACGGTAGCTTGAGCACAGAGGTTTCAGACGGAAGCTGCCACCTGGGATTTTTTTTTTCACCCTTGCACTTTCAATTTATTTTTTGTTTGTACCGTTTGGATACAAATGCTAAAATGAAGACATTCCAATTGATTGCTTGACGTCAGAGCAAATTGGAAGTAGTTGCATTCTCTAAAGTTTAGGCCGTCATCTGTGTCTCAAAAAAAAAAAACAAACAAACAAACAAACAAACAAACAAAACAGGCAAGCACAACGCCTGGAGACCTTAATTAACTTTCACAAAAAGATGCCTTGAATACTCATTCAAGAATACACCATCCATGGAACCATAAAACAAACAAAGTTAAACACTACACAATGGTGTAAATAATATATAGATTTATCCAAGCCTAAAAGCAGAGCTCGCATTTTTTTCCCCGCACGTCTCAAGGGCACAACGCCTCGCCCCGGCCAGGACTAAAACCTGGGTCGTCCGACTCGGAGCTCAGTGCACTGACCACTGGACTAAGCCGTGGTGTTGGCGTGCCCGCGTTACGGTCGACCGTGCGGACGTCCGTACAGTCATAAGTCCAAATTTTTTCGGCTTGACGGGTTACTACTATCATTTTGTATATTATTATGAGGCTACGCTCTGCGAGCTCCGCTATAATTGCTAGGAGATTGCCAGTGAGACAAGACAAGTCTGTGACGAATGCTCATGCATATTATCAAATGCAATTGTTACACATTGACTATTCGTGGTACGTCTCATTTCTGTGGTAGAATAAATATGAATGTGCATTATGTTTAGACAGTAAAGTTAGTGGTTTATACTTGTTATAATGTGGTTGTCCGTTTACTGTACCGTTCGTTTCAAAGTCTGTGTCACGACAAGCAGTGTTAGTACCTACTGAATCAGTTGTTTCAGCAGATGATCCTTGACGGGAACTCTGTAAAAGTTAATTCTCTTCATTCTTTTTAAGTTTGCAAGCTCAAGGAGCAAATCTTCACTGAGTGACGACTCTGAACTGCAGGACTGGAGGTCGAGTTCTGGAGACAGACCAAAAAATACATCAGCTGTACAAAGAGTATGTCTTGAACAGTGCATTTATTTCAGGCAACTAAATCACACCGTCATGGCGTAATGTCTCCTTTACCATGGCAGATCGAGTGAGGGGAGGTTCTTCTATTACTAGTTGCATACTCAGTTTGAGTGAGCTAAAATGTCTTTAACTACCCGAAGTATAATAATCATGTAACAGTTTGTCTATCTTTAAAAATGTTGTCCAGACTAAGAGCGGTGCCTACTGCTCGGCGAAGTCCGTTGCGCG